AAATAAAATCTGTAATTGAGTAAAAAAAATTACTATAATAGTGATATAATAAGTACGTATAAAATAAAGAGGTAAGATCTAGTATGAGGCATAACGGCCAATAAAAAGGCACGTGACGGACATACGGGCATATTTCAAGTCTGTCTAGTATGGAAAAAAAACAAATAACTGACAATCAAAGGGAAGGCACGTGCCGGACAGATGGATATTTTGCAACTATTACATGTACATAAGAGTCCTCGCTACGCTTCGGACAATAATAAAAGGTGAAAAAAATAAATAAACCTAAAAAAAACTAAATTATTGTATTATATTACAAACCTTTAAAATCCTTTTTTTTACCAAGTTTAATTAAAAAGCCTTGCAATAACGAAGACTATCTTTTATTAAGAGTAGTTCCTTTTTTTTCTATACCAACTGCATAATTATTATAAATATTTCCCTTAATCTGAAATCAATATTCAATTTCTGAAATATTCTAATATGATAAGTTAAAGGAAGGCAAGAATTTTTTTTTTTTTGCTCACCATAATTATCTCCCATAGCTAGTCACCTTCACCGCTACTAAGACAAAATAATTGTTTAAGCATCTTTTTGCTTCACCTGTCGCTAAGGTAAGAAATACATATCATCGATGTAACTTTCATTTGCCCTTTAATGCTTTACCTTCTGTATAAAGTGTATACTAATGATGATTTAATACCTTCCTTCATCCATTAATTTGAACTAGGGCACCTTCAATAAAAAATATATTACTATTTTATCAGGTTGATGAGGGTTATGAGATAGTTTTACATTTTGGGCAAAATTAAAAGAACACAGAAAAAATATCGACGTGTTTTTATATCGTTTTCATATTCTTCCCTCACTACGCGATAATCTGTCGCGAATTGTGATCATTTACGTCATCGTCATTTTCATTCAATGCATGCTTTAAAAAGGCATTTTAGAAAAAAAGAAAAGAAAGATGAAATTGAAACCATTTGTGTACATTTTTTAGTGGTTCTCTGATAATTCTGCTGAATTTGGCAGTACTTTTCTAAAGTGTATCGTTGGAAATGTGAATAATAAAAAATATCATGTTTTTTCATAGTTCGCGTTTGTTTCTTCTTTTATGAATATTTTTGAATGATACTGTTATTCATCAATTCAGTTAATAGATAAATTTTCTTTATGGATTATCTTAATGGATAAAGCGTTATGAGATCGGGTAGCATTTTCAAGTCCACCCATGGATACATTAAAATGGCATCACTCCCACATGTCTAAAATATCTGTTAAGTATAATTGACTCTCTTCAGGAACCTTCAAGTTTTCAAATTCTTTACACACTGTCTTCATTATATTAACTGTCAGATTCTATTCTTCAAGTTAGGAGCCCGCCTCTTCATCATAGTATATGTACTCTTTTATTTCATGATCAATTTCAGCAAAACCAAATTCTAGTACCGTATTGGCGCGTAATAACGCGCATGCGCGGTAATTCGAACATTTTGACAAATTTGGGTTACAAGAGGAAGCCCTACTTTTAATAATGAACTTAGCCTGAGAAATTCGATCAAAATATGTAATATGGCATATTTAAAGGGGGAGCGTTATTTTGGGACGCGCGTGGGTTTATTTTGAGTCAAAAAAACAATTTTCAAAAAAATGAGAGTTTCAAAATAACGCCCATGTGCGTTATTACGCGCCAATATGGTATATTAAGAAAAGGTTCTGAGTTTTCAGGCAATTCTGTTTTATTAATTGGATAAAGAAACGGTCTGAAGTTTATGCACGAAAGCAGTTATAATAAGGTTATTTAAAAGACTTTAAAATGATATCTTTTTTTATATATATAACAAAGGCAATTGTTTCTGCAAATCAAGAGAAATTCGATGCCTTTTTATTATTAACCTCGTTTTTTCCAATTCAATGCATACATTAACATGTATTTCGACTAAGCGCATAAGGTCATGCCTAATTTCCCGACGGATAATTCCTCTACGGGCCATTTACTTGAATCACATAGATGATAATTTCTAACAACACATACTTGCAACTAATCAAATGCTAACCCTACCCTATGCGATATCGGGTAAATGGCTGTAAGGGAAATGACTGCCAGGAAAATAAGCGGCTACCGCGTGTAACGATGATGACTATTGACCCAACTAAGGACATAACATAATTGCAGCTAAGAGCATAATGATCACATAAAGATTATTGACTAATGATTGTACAAAATGACTAGTGGTGTAGGTGAAACTTCCGTAACTTGTCGTAACTATCTGTAATATATCATAACTACGGCATTTTTGCCGTAACTTTATTATGTTACGACGGAGTTCGCCTGCACCTCTAGTCATGGCACAATTTGCCCTAAGGTTTTTATGGAAATTCTGACACTGAATTTTGACATCTTTTAGCGAGCTCAATTTAGTGTGAAGTCATATAAATTTTGTTAAATTTCAATTCAAGAAATTCACCCAAATTCTCATCTGAAATTGAGAATCAGGAACACGGAATTTATATGACAAAAATTTATAAATATTCGATTTATCGCTGATTAAAAAAAAAGAAAAAAAAAAGGTAATTTATACGTATTTTGAAAAAATTTAATAACATAAACATTTACTATAATTCATTAATTCATTATTTAAAAGCATATCAGATATAAATTAATAAAAAAAAAACACTACTAAGAACATCTCATTAAAGTAACATAAAATTTACGTAGTGCTGTATTTAAGTTCTATGGCCAATCTCTGATCTGGATATCTGAATTTATCTGGATTGAAGGATCAATTGAAATTGTCGGATCTAGTTCTATATTTACGTAATGTGAAGTAAGATTATAGATTTAGCATGAATTTGTTTTAATTCATATTAAATCAAATAATTCGCGTGTAATTGCTGAAAATTGATGATACAAGAGGCAAAATCTCGAGATGTAATTAGGAATTTCAGAGTTAGTGAATTTGAGTTTAGAAACAATAAAAAATATGATAAAGTATAATCTGTCAGACCAAGACCGATCCTGTCAAAACTGATACAAAATCAACTTATAACCTTTTAAAATTGATACAATATATTAATTATTATAGATACGCAATATATTCAGCATTTTAATCTAATAATTAATTTATTTAATTAATTTAATTAATTTCAAAAATGTATTTCAGACAAAAAATTGGTTATATCTAAGCAAAAAATGTTCCATTGCAATATTGATCATTTAGATTTTGCATTGGCGATCGGATTGAAAAATCAAAAGACCATCAAGCAACCATGACATATAACCTGTTACAGTCTCAGAGAAATCAGGAATTTTTTGACAACAATAAGACTTTAATTAGCAAGGATTAGATTCAATGAAGCAGTAGACTGGAGAGGGCGAAATTTCCCAAACTTCCAATACTGGATATAAATATTGTATTAGTGATCTATAAAAAAAAAATCAGGTAAAACCAATTTTCTATTTAGCTGGATAATAAAAAGGCATTTAAATACAAAACACTATATTAGAGACTAGTTAGAAGCCACGCTGATATAAATTTATCTGCTAGATTTAGCCGATAATTTTATGGTTAGAGTCATTACTAATATAAAGGCGAGAGAGTTTTACGGGCGTTAGTGACTCTAAAGCAAAATTTTCGCGAAATAACGCGCAGGGGTATAATTTCAAATTTTGGCCCAAATTAAGCTTAATTCTGGCCATTATTCTAAACAACACCATAGCATCATGACGCGAAAATACGGTCACTAGGGCTCATTGAACATGTAAAGTAAATATTGTTTATATTCATTGGACCTTAAGCTTGAGTTTAATATGAAAATTGAAATAACGAAATATCAATTTAAATGATCATTGATTGCTAGAAAATAGTTATATTTGTTACTAATATGGTAATATATTAAAATGCACTATAACGGTATATACTGTGAAAACTCAATTTTATTTATAATAGTTTTATAACCTCTGACGTACATCTATATAGCTGAAATAATTCTTCGGACTTCCAATTATTAATCATACAAATCTAGTTCCATTGCCTGATAATTACAAGCCTTAGAATTAATGCTCAGGACAACGATACAAATTCGGTGTTGCTTTTCTTTATTAATAAAGTCCGATTCGACTTAAGTATACTGTAGCATTACCCTTTCCTTATCATTTCATCTCTTCATCATTAGAATGCGATGATGTTGAATTGCGTCCTTCCTCACTTATCTGCGTTTCGTTTTGTATATGTGAATGCTATAAATCTTTTAGTGCTATATGATTTCAACACAAAAACTCTTTGAACCATAATCACTGCTATAACTTACAGATTTAACAATAATTCCGTTAGCAAATCTTCGTTGAAATGGTATATAATTGCCCTCCGTGTTATGTTTCTTATTAGCATTATGATCGTCAATGATGGCAAAAGATATATGTCGATAAGTCCGTGGTAAATTCTCTCCTCCACCAGCGTACTCTGCTGAGATCACCTCGTAAAATAGTTGCGCAATAACATTCGGAGGATTTCGATATGCGCCTATAAAATATTTGATATTTGCAAAAAAATAAATATTATTGCAATAATTAAAAGTAAATGAGATTTCTATGATCTTGAAAAATTCAACTTAACCACATCCAAATGCACTTAATATTATACAATCATGCCCTTTAAACATACAGTTATAATAGACATTACATAATATAAAGAATTATAAAAAAAATTAAATCTTAAGTCAGATATAAACACGGAAAAATTCTAATCTGGTAATAATTCAAATAACATACCATTTTCTAAACCTATATTTAAAATCGCTTGAATCTTTTTACGAGTTTTGGTCTTCGCTTCAGGATGAATCGTATGCTCACCAGAAGGATTTGAAATGATTTTTGGACGACGTAAAGCAGCTACAGCCTAATGATAATTTTTAATATTAAATGGCTTTAATTATTACTAGCAAGAAAAATTGATCAAAATCGCGTTTTCATACCACAAACGACATCTTTTCGGGAACTTCCAAGAATGAGTATTTATCTTCTTCACTAGATCTTATGACTGTCGCGTTAGGACAATAAATACCACCAGATTCAGGAATAGGATACCATTCATTTTTTTTAGGTTCATGATATTCAAAAAGATTTGTACGACGAAATAGGTTTTCTTCCTGCGCTCCTGCACCAGTCTTATAACCTTTATTTTAATGAATGACATTAGATCTCGATATATTTTAATAAATTTTAAAGTAATGCAAATGCTACATACCACCCCCAACATTTGTATTTGACGCCATGTTCAATACTAAAGGGTTAAAGCCAAGCTTCTTTAGTCTTAATGCCTCAAGAAGACAGTCCATATTAACTACTTCAATGGTGGGAATTTCCTGCTTTTCAGCCACAACTTCTCGAGCCAACGCAGAAGCATCTTTATAAAACTTTGCTTTCTCAATTTCTGCTGCTATTTTTGGACCGTCAAGCGCAATAAGTTTTTTAGTTTCTGCATGAGTATAACCGAGCTCTTTAAAAGCTTTGATAGTTTCTTTTTGAACTCCTACACGAAACTGTCGCATTTTGGAATAACTCATTTTATTAAACTGATTACTTACTACGCGAAAATTAGAAAGAACTCCGATCAAACAAATTAAATACAAAACGCACTCCAAAATTTAACTACGCATTGATGACACAATAATTACCTTTTTAGTTCCTTATAGAGAACACAAAGTTCCGTTTTGATGTTCTGTTAATTAAAGATTGTCCAGGGTACTGCGGTGCATAATTCTGCTCACGCTAAGAATACTTTTTTACATTATAATTTGATTTAAAAAGTGATTTAAATCGTGTGTCTCTTATGAGAACAATATAAAAAATTATTTTTAGCGTGAGCAGAATTATGCACCGCAGTACCCTGGACACTCTAATGACAAGGTTGGCCCTAGTTCTTAGTTTTGAGTTGGTTTTTAGTTTCGGGTTGGCTTTTTAGTTTGGGGTTGAGCATTAATATTTTAGAAAGAAGACTTAATACGCAAGTAAATGACTTATTTAATTGGGCCGACTTTGTTCACTTGATTAATAAATTGGCTTATCTGTTATAGAACGAAATCAGGATGGTTTAGGGTTTTGCTATACTATACTGAGCTGTTCACCTATAACATACCATAATATCAATCAAATAATATTACTTATAAGATATTGGTTATACGATGAAAAGTAACAGGACATTTTTTTCATCGGAGTTAATGTTCCATGTGCTGCGTGCAACATTAATTCACGATAAAAAAAATTCCTGTTATTTTCGTATGACCTGAATGTTGTGTACTAAATAGCCTACGTAAGTAAGTACACGGAAATATTGTTTATAAGAATCATCGAAGACGAATTTCTCATGTTTTTATTATAACTTTAGGAAAGTGTTTGAGAATACCCAAAGTTAAAGTTTTTTAAGGTGCTGAACATTTTTATTTCGTACTTCAAATACCTCACTAAAGTCATTTCTGAGAAGTTGCATTCATAAGTAGTGCAACAAAAAAAAAAATTTTTACTTAGATCGCATTATTTCCCGCAATTCTGGGTGTATCCTTTTATTTTTTATTTTATTTTATTTGTAAATAGTATAGTACTAGTTTATAAGACCCGGTCGGTGACCGGGTTCGAGTTCCTAATTTTTTGCTAATTCTTAGGCCTTAATATTATTA